GCCTAAGTGTGCCAGTCTGGATAATGTGCTCAGGTTTCTGAAATGTACCCGCCAGCTTCTGTCTCAAAGTTAGGAGAGTTAGAGACCCAAGGAGATCACTGCACAAACAACAATGGTGAACAATGGATTTAACAAGCTGAGATCCAGTAGACTGAGGTGTATTAAGGCTATCCAAAGACCTTGAAATAGGCCAACATTCCTTCAATTACTTTTCAGAGCAGTGAGGCAACCTCAACTAATATTATGAGTATGTGCATCATTGCCCCTCATTCTCTCTGTTGTTATCAATACAGTTAGCTACATACCCTCTCTTTTGCTTCTCAGTTCCATGTGTCTGCCCTTGCTAGGGGTCCCCCGTCGCGTTTTGCGCTTCTCTGACAATGGCTCATCCTTCCCTGCAAAGTCCACCCTTAGAGGCACTTCTATTTCTTGGTTACATCGGAAACATTGGTAAATGTCACATTGATTGAGAAGTTTCAAAGCAATATCTGGCGATCATTTAAATTTGCACAGGTTCCAGAAGTCAGGGCACTGGGAAGCTAGCAGTATGTGGAAATGCATTACAATTCTGTAACTATTACAAATTGATAGAATGAGGCGTCGTTATTTTGTTACAGAATGGCTGTGGGCCCATCCAGAAAAATACTAGAAACAGGAATAGGCCATTCAGCCTCTTGAACCTTTTCTGCCATTCAATAAGAGTGAAGATGATCTTTCCTGCAACTACACGTCCCTGTCCTGTCACTTGATTCCCACAGATATCAAAAATCTATTGATCACAGACTTTAATATACGAAATGGCAGAGAAAGAATTCAATAGATTCACAACCTCAGATGAAGGCAGTTTTCTTCTTAGTCCTAAATAGCTGTCCTGATCCTGAAATTATGAATCTTAGTTCCGAATACTCCAGCTACAGGAAACAGCCTCCCTCCCTGTAAAGCCCTCTGAAGGGTTTCAATAACATCACATCTCATTCTTCTTGAAACTTGAGCGTACAGGCCCATTCCCTTTACTCAATCTGTCCCTACAAGATAACTGTCTTATCCCAGGAATACCAAGACCAAACTGTACATTGTAATGCAGGTGTGATCCCTCCAAGGCCCTGTACAATTGCAGCTGGATTCCTTTACCGTATTACTTCAACACCCTGATCAACAATCCATTTGAGTTCTTAATTCTCTCTTGTACTTCAAGGTAAACTCTTTGTATGGTGAGCAAAGACACCCAAATCCCTTTAAAGGGTATGCCCATCAGAAGTGAAAAACTTTGCATTTTTCCACATTATGGTGTCATCTTTGTGCTCATTCACAATACCGATATAGTCACATTCGCAGAGACTGTCCTTCCCCATCTAACAGCTTCTTTCCTCACTAGTTTTGTAGACACAGCAATGAGAGTGAGCAATCAGACTATTATTTGAAACCTGCTTTCTAAAAGTAAGTTTCAGTTCCCACACCACCACCAAACGGCCTCTCTCTCAATTATCACATATTACCTCCATCCTCTGAGCTGTTTGTATGACGGAAACCCTCATGCAAACCTACATGAGCTCGATTCCTGACCTTAAATAGTTTGTCTCCCACACTCGACTAGCTGTACGCTTTCAGCTTTCCGAGTCATTGCTGCCTCAGTGTTCACCATCACCTCTGTCTTTAATGAGGTCTCAGATAACTCCACTCCTGAGGCGGCACGGTGGCTCAGTGGTCAGCACTGCTGCCTCACAGCGCCAGGGACCCAGGTTCGATTCCACCCATGGGCAACTGTTTGTCTGCACGTTCTCCCAGTGTCTGCGTGGGTTTCCTCCAGGGCTCCGGTTTCCTCCGACAGTTTACGTAGATTGGCCAGGCTAAATTGCCCATAGTTTTCAGGGATGTGTCGATTAGGGGGATGGGTCTGGATGGGATGCTTGAAGTGTTGGTGTGGACTTGTTGGGCCATAGAGGCTGTTTCCACACTGTAGGGATTCTATGATGATCATACCTTTCGCAATTTCCAAGCTGGCCCAGACCCACAGTCCTCTGGGTAAACTTGTTCCTTTAATTCTGACATCTTGAGCATCTCCAATTTGAATGGATCTAGCACCTGGTGGCCATGCACTCAGCGGCTTTGTGTTCTAAATCCCTGGAACATCTTCACTAAACATTGCCTCTTCCTGCAGGACTGCTGGTAACATTTACATTATCTTCCCTAATATCTCCCCACATTGCTCAGTGTCGAACTTCACTGGAATATTTTTATTACATTTAAAGGCACGATAATCAAAGCAACATTGTTGCTGTAAGCTCCAGAGGCACATTCAACTCTCCACTATCTTCAGCTCCTTTGAAATCTCTACTGCTTGCATTTTTCTCTGCACCTGGTCATTACCCCATCCTCATTGACCTGCACTGAGGCCCAATCTCCCAAAGCCTGTATTTTAAGATTATTGCTGTATGTGGGTGTAAATCCTTTCCTAGCCTCAACCATCTTTTCTCTAACTTTCCCAGGTGTCCCCTATCCTTGCAGCTACAGCACCTGGAGCCTTTACTCACTCAGAGCTCTTGAATTTCCCGCCCAAACACCTCTGCTCTTCACCTGTCTCACCGCTCCCTCAGAACATGTGTCACTCACTCAAACGTTTGCCTCACCCCTCCCCTTCGACATGGGAGTATCCATTTCTCATTTCTCTGTGGGGTCCTTTCAGGCATGCTCCAAAATCAACCACAGCTCAGCCAAACGAGGAAGCCTCAGAACTTGGTGTGTTTTTTACACTGCGCCCATTTCAAATGCGTTAAACACAAGTTGGTTACAGATGGTGTCTGAAACTCTGCGAGGACCCGGTAGCATGATGCATCACAATGGGATTACCTTGTTACCTTTTACTCCAAAGCATTAATTAATGTAGAATGGTCATTTGATGAAACCATTTCACGGGCGTCAGCACCATCGTGACAACAACTTGAATTTATATTGAACCTTTAAACATCCCTAATGTCACCTTCAGGAGCTCTACAAAACAAAACCTGTCACCAAGCCATATACTGAAAAATCAGCATAGGTGGCAACTCAACTTGGTTAAAGGACAAGGGGATTGTGTCCTCCAGTGAGGGTCAGCACCTTCAGGAAGGACGTGGGGTCTGTGGAACCTCAACCACATGCCCCTTCAGAGTCCACCACCTTCAGGTGAAGGAGGGAGTGTGAAACATTAACAAAAAACCCTCGATGTATTTTATTATTATTCTTTACACCCCCAAACAAGATGCGGCAGATGGGGCTACTGGGAACAAGAGTCAGAGAGTGTGACAGAAGTTAAGTCAACTGTTTAGTAAGTAACGACCATCATTTTAATTTTCAAATGGAAAAAGAAAACTGCTTTAAATCAAGGGAAAGAGATGCTGAGTTTTGAAACAAGTTACTGGGACTCATTATGAGTTGTAGTTACACAGTTGCTTTGTTCGTGCAGTGGAGGGTTGGGGTTGCGGGGGTAGATGGGGAGAAGAGGGAGGGTAAGATTGTTGGACTCAGCACCATAAGTTTGTATGTTCAGGGCAGCTTTGCTCAGAGACAGCCTGGTTGATTGATATAAGTTGCTGCCTCTGACCAGTGACTGAGAGACTGAACAATTAGTGTACCAACCGCCCTGTATCTTCAGTAAAGAACTGAAAGGACTTGGAAAGAAGATTGGAGGAGGACTCGGAAGCAGCAAAAAGACACCTTGCTGAATCTTGTGGACCAGTGCTATTGAACTGTGTTCTCCTAATAATTTTCTCTATATATTTTCTCCTTGTTTGTCTGTCTGTGTGTATGTTTAGGGATTTAAGAGGTAGATTTTGTCAGAGAATTATAAATTGATTTTTCTTGGCCTGTGATAAGTATTGATTTATTTGTAATCATAGTAGTTTCTCCCAGATACAGAAACCTGATCAGTATTTTCTGTTAACCTCAGTTCAGTAGACAGGAACATTGGGGATTTTGAGTAACCTGATTAAATCTTTAACTTTCATGACAATCTCAGGAGTGGTGGGGCGAGGGTATCAGCGTGATTTTCCAAGAGGATTATGACATCGACTTGACTAATTCAGCTGACCGATGTGTATACTGTAATAATTAGACTTTGCACTATACATTGTAAGAGGGAAAAATAAACAGAGCTCTTTCACAAGAGCTAGTAATCTCAGGGCTTCACTCCTTCCACTTTAATTAAAGGGAAAACTTTGTAATACTTCAGGGAGATTCCATTTTGACAGAGACAATGAGGGTTTAACTTTAACAATTCATCTCTGTGGCACATCATTTGCAAGGTTGGTATTTATTGTCCAAACTTAACAAATTAACTCAAGGGGCATTCCAGGTCATTCCATATGGCATGTCAAAGTCAGGTTCAATCACATTTGGAGTCAGGTAGAGGCCATACTGAATAAAGACAGCAAATTTCTTTAAAAAGGGCAATGTTTAAGTTTTCCATAACAATCTGGCAATTTCAATGGTCGCTCTTAAAATGCCACTATCTTCATCTTGAATATAAAAGCTGAAACAGCCAAGGGAGGATTTTAATTCTCAGTTTCTGGATTGTAAGTCCCAGTAACATCACCACTACGTGGTGAAAGGGGAACGTTGGCAAGGGAGGGAAATGGGGAGCCAGCTGAGTTAGGGAACAAAAAAAAACATCTCACCAACAAGGTACCTCTGGAGCATGGCTGCTGTTGCAATGTAGGAAATGTGGCAGTCAATTTGTGCACAGGGAGATCCTACAAACATTCATGTTTTAACAACTTGAAAGTCTTTTTTAAAACAGAGGTGCAGACTGAGGGATAAATACTGGTCAGAACACTGGTGAAAATTCCATTGCTTGCCTTTAAAATAAAAAATACATGGACTTTTTCACATCCAGCCACGGGACAAATTGGACCTTCGTTCAATGGCTCATCTGAAAAGCAACACTAGATAATTGCACTTATAATGTCTACTTTAACTGGATCTTACCCTGCACCGTTGACTAAACTGCATTTGCAATGACCTACCAGTGACTTGGGCTTTGTGGTTGCCACCATATTGGCCAAAGTGTCCTCCTCATCTACTTGACCGAAAACGTGTGCATCATAGGCGACGGTTATTGAAACCTCTTCCATCATTTTGGGAGAAAGGTGTTGAATAAAAAATAAATTAAATAAATAAAGAAAACCTCATGAAATGGAGGGAAAAGTGCCAAGACACTGAGCAGTCTGCACTGCATCCACTTGGAGCGCTAAAACGGACCGTGGTGAAGGAAAGATTAAGATCTGTCTTTTCTACTCGCAACATGGGTTACGCACCACAGACTCCATCGTCAATCGAACGCACAGTGGCTCCCATTGATAGAAACCAAAGAGAGGGTGTTGAAGAGTCAGAGTTTTATTTAACTGTCTGCTTTCTTTCTTCACATCTGTGCTGAATCCCAATTCTCAAGCAGCCGTTCCAAATTCAGGAGGTAAGAAGGTCAAGAGGCCAGGGGTAGATGCGGATGGAACACTGCCTCATCTCTTGTCGGAGGGGAGGGAGATCCTCAACTGCTGACCACTTCCTACCAGTCGTCTGCCGGAATTCAGAGCAGGGATTGAAGAGGTCGTTGGCCAGTTAGTACCAGCTGCTCTGAGCGCACTTTTCTTTGGAGGGGAGGGCTCAACAAGCAGTTTAGACGGTCATAAGAGCAACATCCTGTGCATCTGCGTACAGTGAGAGCAGCAGCCGCGGAGGCCGAGTTTCAGACAGCACACATTCACGTTCACTCTCGCACACCAATTCTCTGAGGCTCTTCGCATACACACACAAAAAAAAAACAACAGCACAACCACAAGGGAATTGTGGCACAGGGCCACCTCAAAACTGACTTAACTATTTCCTGCTTCAGATCACTCCGTCCACAGGTGTCTCAAGAGATTCCAGGCTCAAATCAACTGGATGGTATCTCGTAATCTCAAGAGAGAGAGAGTCCCCCTGCAGTAGGGGAGTAACAGGTTCTTCAGGTAAGCCAAGCCATCAGGAGTTTCTGCAGCGGTCGCCTGCCATTTTTCACGACAAGAACTACCTGTTCCACAGGATGTGAACGGAGCTGGAGCCAATGCCTTTTCCCACAATCTGCTCTCTGTGTCTAAGGCGGCCACAGTTTTTCTTAATACTGTGCAAAACCAGGAAGCAGCAGCGATCAAAAATAAGCTTTCAGATGCTCCACATTCCTCCCCAATTCACGTGCTCTCTTTCAAGGAGTGGCTTGTTTCAGTCCATTGGTTCCTAAGGGCAGGTTAATCAGCTACAGAGGAGAAAGAGAGAGAGACAGAAAGATGGGAGTGGCCCAGTGAGACTCAGTGCGAGCAGTCACAGTCAAGAGAAATACTGCTCCTCAATGTAACTTAGAGAGAGAGTGTGAGAGAGAGAGAGAAAGCGCAAGCAAGAGAGAGTGAAACTCAGAGGGAAATGCAAATCCGTTAATTAGGCAACACTTACTTGAAGATTAACACATGAAGATTAAGTCCACTTTACAGATCTTCTGGGTGGAGGGGGGCAGGATATTTGCTAATTCGCTGGTCTTTAAACAGTCCAGCACTTTTCAAATGAACTGACAGAAAAGTATTTTCATTTATATAGAACCTTTCAGAACTTCGGGAATGCCCCAAAGCTCTTTAGTAAATGAAGTAATTCTAAAGTGTACTCATCGCTGCAACGTCGGAAATTTATCTGTCAGAAAACAAAGAACTGTGGATGCTGGAGATCCAAAATAAACAAAAACAGAAAATATTGGAGAAACTCAGTGGGTCTGTCAGCATTTGCAGAGAGAAAGCAGTTAACGTTTCGAGTCCTTTGACCCGTGATTCTGTAGAAGGGTCACCAAAATAGTTTTCTCTGCACAGATGCTGTCAGACCTGCTGAATTTCTCCAACATTTTCTGCTTATGTTTTGAAACTAACATCTGTCAGTTTGCACACAGGATGATCCCACAATCAGCACTGTGATAAATTGCTAAGTGGTATTTTAGTGATGTTAGTCGACAAACGCCAAGACAGGACACCAGAAAGAAATCCCTTGCTCTTCTTCACGCAGTGAAACGGACAGATTTTGCACATTCTTGAGCTTCACCTTCACCTCACTCCCCCCCTCCCCCAACATCTCTACCTGAGGAGACAGCTGTGGCCTTGATTTAAAGTTTCATTCAAAGGATGGCACCCACTGACAGTTGAGCATAGCCTCAGGAGTTTGGGGGGGGGGCGCGGAGACGTGGTGGTGGGGGTGTGAGACAGAGACAGAGAGAAAGACAGAGACAGAGAGAAAGACAGAGACAGAGAGAAAGACAGAGACAGAGAGAAAGACAGAGACAGAGAGACTGCATGGGAAAGGGAGTTTCTGACATTCCACAAATGGACACATCTCCTGTCACAGTTCCACATATTAGTGCACGGTGGCCCACGAGGAAGGAGCCAAAGGGAAGACACCGCAGCTCAAAAGAAGCCAAGTCACGACATACAAATTTCCACAGCACCTCCTCCTCAGCACACATGCTGCTTCCACCAGTGCACACTGCTGCAGAGGATGAGTTCAAAGGTTTCTTCCTGCGATGGAGGGTTCTATATCTCGCTTTCTTCCAGACATTACTTTCCAGGATTTTTGTTAAGATGTCCAAACAGCCTTTAGATTAACAACATAAGGTCTCCAGGGCAATGACAGCTACAGAATGTATAAAATTAGAACATGGCTGTGACATCATCTGTGACTCAGAATGTGAAGTATCACTTCATATATAAACTGGTGAACCAGTTTCTGTGCTAATTGCGGTAAGGCTATACAAGGCCACAGTACATATTCAGCAACTCCATGTTACTAAAATGCCAGTCAGAAACATAGTAAAGTCTCTTCTACTCTTTTAAACAGAAGGTAAAGCTTCCTCTACACTGTCCCCATCACACAGCCCTCCCTCGTGGCATCGTAGGTCAATCCACAGAAGGAGGACTGCATTGGTTCAAGAAGGCAGCTGACCACCAACTTCTCAAAGACAACTAGGGACGGACAATAAATGCTGGCCAGTCAGTGACACCCGCATCCCACAAATGAATTAAAAAAAAAGACTCTCAGGACAAGGACAGCACAGGGTTAGATACAGAGTAAAGCTCCCTCGACGCTGTCTCGATCAGACACTCCCAGGACGAAGGCAAAGTTCAAAAGGCTGGGTTAGAAACAGGCAACGAAATCTGTCTTTACTGAAGAAGACCTGATCTCAGCAGAGCCTAAAATCCTTTGTGCCAACTGATTACTATAGAAATGATGTCAGTACCTTTGTAAGTAAATGAGGGGTTCAGACTGCTCCCAAAAATAGCACCAGTGGCCAAGTGGTCAACATTAGCAAGGACATGAAGTGGGTTTGGTTAGTGTGCGTCTGTGTAATACGGAGAAATTCCTCCCGCTTTTCACCTATTGCTTAAGCCTTTCACATTCAGCCCGGCAAGAAAGAGCCTTGGTCTAAGGCCCCGTTTGAAGAGGAGTCCTCCAAGTGTGCAGCACTTCCTCTTTACTGCACTGAGACATCAGCCAGGGTTATGTGGTCAACTCTCAAACTCATGACCTTCTGACTCGAAGGCTGGTGAGGAAATAACTCCATAGAAGCTGGTATTGCATCACCAAGTCACCCTTCATTTGTAGTGAGTGTTCTACACTGATCCAGCTCCCTCAGAGCCAACTCTGAGTGAACAGAAACTGGTCTTATCTGTTGGCCAGGGTACCCTGACTGGACCAGGTTAACAGCCCCAAACAGGGAAGGTATTCCATTACTTCAGAGATAATAGGAACTGCAGATGCTGGAGAATCTGAGATAACAAGGTGTAGAGCTGGATGAACACAGCAGGCCAAGCAGCATCAGAGGAGCAAGAAAGCTGACGTTTCGGGCCTAGACCCTTCTTCAGAA